GTCGACATAACCCCTGCCTTCCTATCACCTACGGTGTAGCCAGGAGATGAGACGTCAGACAACCATGCAAGTAACCACGGGCTTGTGAATGTGCGTTTGGGAAGGAACTGTATGGGAGTAGCAGGGTGGGGCCACGTGCAGATGCCACGCCACTCCACTCGTCCTGAGCCCGCCTGCCTTCCAGCCTGTCTTCTAGAACTACACAGGAGACCCGCCTTGCTGGAACAGGCTCAGAGCTCCTTCCAGTGCAGTGCACCAGTCAATGCACTAAAGCAGGTACAAACAATTCTGTCACGAGTCGAGGCTCCTTGCACGCATCAGAAAACAACAAACGAGGGAAGACAAGCAAGAGAGGAGCAGTTTGAGACAAGTTTGTCGTAACCTTGACGTTCTAAGATCCATCCTGGGACAATGTGATTCAACCACGAGGCACGGCTCAGATCCTGGCTGCTCCGCCCTGAGTGGAATTTCTTTCATGCAATAGAGCGTCGCAGAGTTGTTCTCGTGCTTACTCTATACTTCCACGCAGTCTGCTTTAAGATACAAGAATATTAAATCCATTTCTGTTCCCACTTCATCATTCAGATTCTCCTGTACAAAGCAGCACAGAAAAACAAATTCTTTACCAAAATTTAGTGCAAGAAAATTCTAGAGCTCAGGGCAAAAAAAAAAAAAAAAAATTTCTCCTGTGGCCCTCGCAGCTGTCACTATTGTTGCACTTCCCTCACCCAGGCTCCAGGGACGTTCTAAAACCAAGCAAGGTAATGGCTCATGAATCAGAACATACCTGATTCCCCTCTTCTCTGCAGCCCTGATGTTCTATTCCTATTGTCTTATACATACATGCTGTAAATAATTCAACTCCTTTTGGAATACAAATGTACTAAATAAAAATTTGGAACAAAAACTTGCTTCAGTAAGCTCAAGAAACTGACTTCTCCTTGTCTGTAAGGCCTTATCAGCACAATAACTCTGGGTTTGTCTGTTATTGGATTTCTATGAAGGATAGTTCCCCTAAAACTAAATCACATGTGTTAAACACCTATTTATAAAAAAAAAAAATCCAGGCCAGCGCCGCGGCTCACTAGGCTAATCCTCCACCTTGCGGCGCCGGCGCACCGGGTTCTAGTCCTGATCGGGGCACCGGATTCTGTCCCGGTGGCCCCTCTTCCAGGCCAGCTCTCTGCTGTGGCCAGGGAAGGCAGTGGAGGATGGCCCAAGTGCTTGGGCCCTGCACCCCATGGGAGACCAGGAGAAGCACTTGGCTCCTGCCTTCGGATCAGCGCAGTGCGCTGGCCGCAGTGCATCGGCCGCGGCGGCCATTGGAGGGTGAACCAACGGCAAAAGGAAGACCTTTCTCTCTGTCTCTCTCTCTCACTGTCCACTCTGCCTGTCAAAATAAATAAATAAATAAATAAATATCCAGAGTCATCCACACAACTGGAAACCAGAAGCACAGAAGTGCAAACTGACCCTCCAGTGGAACCTAATTCGTGCAATTCTGAATCTAACACTCACCTTGTCAAGATTTAGCTTTAAAACTGAAGAAGTTATTCGGAATGCACCAATAGTTATTTCACTTGTATTCCTAAACTATGTTAACTAAATGGTCACAAAATTGCAATACTTATGTCTCGCAGGAAAATAAAATCGTTAACCACTGTAACTGAGTTTGCTGAATCAGGTGCTCCCAGGACCCGTCCCTCTCCCACATGCGTGCCTTACGTGGGCAGCAGTGTAGCATCTTTTTGAAGCCTTCTGACGAGAGAATTCCCGTAACTGAGGAAAGACACATTACTGAAATGCAGTATCATTATGTATGCAGTATGCAGTAGCCATCCATTAATATTCATGTCTGGCATTTCATTAGGTATTTATTAAAAAACATTCAATTGATACTAGCATGTTATCCTGTTCACTTTGCAAAAGATTCCAATATCTGCTACAGAAATTCCTTTGCTTGTAATTAACAATCCCACTCCTCTCAAAACCAAACCCACCAGCTGCCACAAGTAAGCACCTACACCTTGCCCAAGGTTCAAATATGGCCCGTTAAAAATGAGCTATGTACAAACGCAGACCACTTGGGAATGGGGTGCAAACACTGACGCTGAGCAACCCAACAAGAAGATGCAGCTTTGCATCCACTTTGGGATCATGCCAAAGCTGGAACTCGAAAGAAAAGGAGAAGTTAGCCCGGTGGACAAGGAGGGGAAACACAGGATGGGCTGGGAGGGTGTGTGCGCAGGGTGCAGAAGCACACGGCAGGTTTGAGAGCCAGTAAGAGGCTCCATGGTGTGGGACGTCCAGGGCCAACCTTGGACTTGGGCACAGCAGCACCAATGAAAGGAGTTTGGATTTTCTTCCCTAGGTCACAGGAGCCCTTTAGCAACACAGAGAAACCATTTCAGTGGCAACATCTATTCAAATAGGAGGAGGGAAAATGAAATGATTTAAGAGTTCATGAGCCACAGAAAGACCAATGGCCCTGGAGGAAGAAGGGAGTAGAGGCAGAAGACCAGCTTGGAGGTCCTCAGGACATGGAATCAGGAGCCCATTTATCACACACCGAGAGATCGGTTCTTCTCCGACAACCCCCACAGGTCTAGTAAGAAAAAGGGAGAAGCAAAGTGCAAAATACAAGTGACAGTATCGTAGAACCTCCTCGACTATAAGCAGAAAACAAGAAGATACACCTTTTTTCAGTATGAATTTAAAACTTCCTGTACCATCACACCCCGTGAGGTCTGGAGTGCTCATACAGGAATGAGATGCACGCCCTAGCAGAAGTGCAATGCTGCACTGAAATGTGACCTCCAGGTAAGTGTGCAAAAACAACTTCATGAAGAATGGCCGTGGCAGAAGCAAATGTCTGCTGTTTGGGTTCCTACATAAACCATACAGTTCCCAATCGGTCCCTGATAAAGGCAGATACCGTTTCTCCAAATGGGATATTTTGGTCTGCTCACCTCAGCTCTGAGAAGCTTCCTGGATGGGTCATGAGCACACCTGGCCCTTGCTGCCATCGGGTCTACTGCTCTATGTGCACCTACTCTCCCCATCTGGGGAACGGACCCCTCTCTCTCTCCCCCTCCCCAAGCTCACGTAAGCACGCTCGGCAGACAACCCGCCTCACCTGCGGTCCTCAGGGGCACGCCCTCTGTGTCAGTGGCCATCTCTCCAGCTGCCCGAGAATCCCTGTGTCACCGGCCACGTCCACCGTCCCTTCCCTTCTCCTTACTCCCGTGTGTGCTAGCCAGCTGTATACAAACCTCCAGGCCCCTGCCCACTCCTCCCAGGCCATCCTCTCCCTCACCTCCTTTCCACATCCAGCCACAATTCTTGTTAAACAACTCAAAACCCCTTTTACTAGCACTCTCCACGGCTGGTGCACCCTTTGAGCAACCCCCACCCAGATGACTCACCCTCGAATTCTGTTCCAGGTGACTGACCTCTCGGAGAGCAAACTGCTGAATGCTTCAGACTAGTGGCATTCGAAAGCACAGAGGCTCACTTCCAGTCAGCAACAATCAGCAACCCTCTGTTTTGTCCCCAGTTCATTCACCCCACACATTCCAGGGTCACTGTGCCAACCCTTGACCCCTGACATCCCGAGTCCCTCCTGTGTGCCTCTTCAACGCCTCTCGTAGCAAAGCAAAGGTTATGGGAAGGGGAGGCACTCGCCTCCTACACACCTGGCAGGATACCCACCTGCATCTCCCCTCTGGTGCTTGCTAAAGCCACCACTTCCCAAGCCAGAGAAACCTCAGGGACGTTAACTTTCTTCTTTGTCTTCTTAATTGGTCTGCCATTCAATCCAGCCCCTTCTCCCACAGCCACAGGCAGGTCGATTAATCTCCCTCCTGAGAGTACACGTAGCCACCCCCACCAACACCAGCATGTCCCTTGGCCCCTCTTCCATTCGTAGCCACTTGCCCATTTCTTTCTCCTACTGCCCTCAAAACTCCTTGAAGTTACGTACATATAAGTACGTGTGTTTATTATATATACTCCCATAGATGATGACTGTAGAATATGTGCGTTCCATATACTAATGTAAGAGACAAATAACAACGGTTTGACGAGTAAATAGACTGGAAAGAACACAGAGTAACCCTAATATTATACGTACAAGGGTACTCCAGAAAGCCTGTGGAAAACAGAACTCTGAAAAGAAGCCTGTGTTGTGCACAAGAAAATTGCAATCCATATGTGCCTATGTATATGAACATGCAATTTTATTCCTTAAAACTTCGGCATTTGGTTTCTAACCCACTCCTAGACCAAAAATACCTGCACCAAGTGTGCTACCACCTCAGCACTGTTAAAGCCAGGTCCCTGTCCTGGGAGTCACGTCAGCCTGTCTGGGTGGACGGAGCCTGATCTTCAGGTTCGGAAGAATACAGCAGACACAGGATGGACACTGCCCATCTGACAGAACACAGGCCCCAGTCCCACTTCCACCCGCGTCCAGATGAGTCCATCCTTGTCCTGATATCTTATGGCAACCCAAACCAGTGGGCCTCCAGCGGTGTTTCATGCCACCGAGGGACCCCTTACCGATACACTCTTGTGTGGGTGAACAGACTCAAAAGGAAAACATGCTAAAGGCAACGTTCAAAACAAGACGAGAGCTCAAGGCTAGCATTCTGGTTCTAATTTCTGACACAGACCCCACACCTACGTTACAGACAGCGGTATGATGTGGAGGCATCCTGTCCTGGTTTGCAGACTCTTTACTGTGCCACACTGACACACACATCCGTTTTACCTCAAAAGCCACTTTTTGGAAAGGAAATTTGGCTCTCATTTTGCCACATGCTGATTTTCTCAGTCTGTGGGCAAAGGGGTCCATCACACAGAGAACAGCGGGGACCCTCGGCACCGTGCTTCCCACTGGGCCACAGGGAAAAGGCAAACGCAGAGGGGCAGCAGAGCTCTGTCTTGGGGAACGGGCGTCGGACCCCGGGCAAGGCGCACTTCCTGGGCCGTGTACTCACCGAACAGACGCTGGTGGAAGAGAAATTTGCCAGCTACGAGGCCGGTGAGGATGGCCAGCAGCCACAGCAGCACCTTCAGCACCCTCCAGCCAAGCCCTCTGGGGTATTTATTGGTCACAAACGAGAAGCAGTTTCCGACCACGATGACATTGGCTTCGGTCTGGCTGTGAGAGACCGGGTCCTCCGCGAATATTAAGAAGTTGAAGAAGATCACCAGGTAAGCCACAATCATGCGCGACCAGGGATGCTGGAAGTAGTAACGGAAGTCTTTACCCATCCTTCAGAGCTTCAGGGCCGGAGCGCACCTGCACAAGAACAGAGAAGCAGGGTGAGTGCAGGAAAGCGAGCGGCAGACTCCGTCTCTCCCGTCACCTGCTCACAGTCACAACAGCTCAATAAAGGGAGCCTGTGGTCAGCAGGATGCTTCCTGTTCCTGTTTACGGCACCGAGAGCAGCCCGCGGCAGAGGAGAGTCCACGCTGTCCCTTCCCCCTCGCCTCGTCATCCCCTGATCACTCAGGGATGTAAGAAAGGAGGAGAATAAGGGCAGAGTGGTGAGGAGGGACGGGAGGGCAGAGTGCGGGGTGGCCTGCAGAGGTCATCCCGGGAGGAATCCAGACTTCTTCTATTTGCTCACTGCTTCTGTCTTACAGTCAGAATGCAGCATCTTTTTTTTTTTAATATTTATTTATTTACTTGAAAGTCTGAGTTACACAGAGAAAGAAGCAGAAGCAGAGAGAGGGAGGTACTCCATTCGGTGGTTCACTCCCCAATTGGTGCATTGGGCGGAGGTGAGCCCATCCAAAGCCAGGAGCCAGGTGCTTCTCCTGGTCTCCCACGTGGGTGCAGGGCCCAAGCACTTCGGCCATCCTCCACTGCACTCCTGGGCCACAGCAGAGAGCTGGATCAGAAGTGGAGCAACCGGGACTCGAACCAGAGCCTATTTGGGATGCCGGCACTGCAGGTGGGGGCTTTACCCGCTACGCCACAGTGCCAGCCTCCAAGCAGCATCTTTCAGAATTAAAACATTGCAGAAGGGAGCTGTACACACACTAAGAAACACCGCACAGCAGACATGCTCCCAGTGCCAGCCCCCAGGTCCTGGGACTCAGGGTCCTTCTTCACTTGCTGCATGCCCGTGTGAACTCTGCAAAACGGTCACCACCTCCTCACCAATCACAGTCAGCACGGGATCCACTGTACGGAGCAGTGAGTTTAGGACAGAGTTGCTGTCCTAGAAGGGCATGGGCCGTAGTGCATGGAGGAGGCTCTCCCCATGTGAGACAGGCTCCCCCTACATGGGCCAGAGCAACTGCTTTCTGGGAGAGAGGACAAGGAAAGAATTCAGAGGAGAAGACAACAAGTTTGGGGTTCACCAGTAGGACTTTCCTCCAGTAAGGAAGGCATCACTGGACGCCCATCTAGAGGTGGGCCAGAAAAACACAAACACCCAGGCCCTGCATCCGAAGTCTGTATCTACTGGGGGAAGAGTCTCCCCCATCCGCCAATGCCCCTATCTCACGTGGGGAGAGTCTCCTCCATCCACCAGTGCCCCTCCCATGTCGGGAGAGCCTCCCCCATCCACCAGTGCCCCTGTCCCACATGGGGAGAGCCTCCCCCATCCACCAGTGCCCCTGTCTCACTGGGGAGAGCCTCCCCCATCCACCAGTGCCCCTGTCCCACATGGGGAGACCCTCCCCCATCCACCAGTGCCCCTGTCCCACATGGGGAGACCCTCCTCCATCCACCAGTGCCCCTGTCTCACTGGGGAGACCCTCCCCCATCCACCAGTGCCCCTGTCCCACGTGGGGAGAGCCTCCCCCATCCACCAGTGCCCCTGTCCCACGTGGGGAGACCCTCCCCCATCCACCAGTGCCCCTGTCCCACGTGGGGAGACCCTCCCCCATCCACCAGTGCCCCTCCCATGTCGGGAGCGCCTCCCCCATCCACCAGTGCCCCTGTCTCACTGGGGAGAGCCCAGCATGAATGAGTCTAATTCTGGGGCTGGTTCTGGTGAGACCATGTGGCTCATAGTCCATGCTATAGCTATTTTTTTCCTCAGCAACAAAACTGGATAAATCTTGGATAAGACAATTCCTAAAGCCATTTGCTAATTCACTTTTCTTCTTCCTCAACTTACGCAGGACTTTCAGCGGGATGAGAGACCCTTGCAAGGTCTACAGTGCTGCATAGGCCAGGCTCCAAGCCAGACATCTACGTGCATGACTATGTCACTGATGTCACCACAGTCCCCTGAGCACTCTGAACCTCGGTCTCATCTCTGCATGCTACAGGGAGGGAACACAATTTGTGTGAGTTTCTCAAAGGCAGACAGCTGGCCAGCTCAGACCTGAGTTCCTGAGATCTGACCACAGGCGACCCCACAGGCGGTCAGAACTGCTCTGGACGGCACTGGCTTACGGGGAGCTCCAGGACCGGGTCTCAGGGACGCCATGCCCTGAGCCTTCTGGAGGCACATTCTTCTCCACAGGGCTTGCTTCCACAGCCCAGGGAACAGTGACCTGTGGGAAGGAGTGCTGCAAAAATCCCAGGCATTCTGGGGAAAATGGTATCCATGGACAAACATCCTTGCTTGACACACGGCTGAAAGAGCTAGGGTCACGCGTGGGCCTGATGTCTTCCCCGTTCATGGATGGTCAGAAAAACACCTGGGGAGCTCCAAGGCTCCCAGTCCCACTCCCAGTGTGCTGGCTGATGAAGACTAACAAAGCTCACAATCAGCTGATGAAGACTTACTGTAACTATGTTAGCAAAACAACATAACCACACAAAAGGCGACAGAACTCAGCCAAACGGTCACAATGCCTCCAATTCATGAGGCTTGTCAGCAATTTCAAGTCCCTGGTGATCCTGGTGCACACTGGGAAATACTCGTTCCGCTCTGATCACACAGGGATGGTGACTGTGGCAAGACCCTTGCTTTTACGTTTGCTTGTTAGCACCAGGCTCACTGCCATTGCAGCAGCAGAGATCTGCAGGTATGGCTGTCCCAGCAGAGAGCCCAGCAAGTGAGTAAACACACAGAGAGATGCTACACATTTGGGCGATGTTTGATGCACAAGAATGCCAGGACGGGTCTGTTGTCAGTTTGGCTTCATGCAGCACCTTTGCAAGTGTCCACACACCACCAACACTGAGAAACTCTCAAAAGGCATCTCAAGGACCAATGAGTCTTGCCTGGGACCTAGGTAGGCGTGGCACTGAAGAAGCTGTCACAGTTACTAAGTTGCCGCAACCTCCCTTCCCTCCACCTACAGGAATCAAGGCAGCAGGAGGTACAGCACTGGATACACATGAGCCTGATTCTTTTTCAAATGAACGCCTGGTAGAGGACTGGCATATGCAGATTTTATTGTTGTTTTTAACTTTCACATTTTGCTCTGTGGGCTCTGGAACATCCACATATCCAAGTTAAATTAGAACATTGTGAAATTCTTGGAGACACTGGTTCCTCTCCAGCTCGGGCTATTTCAGGAGCGACAACCACAGTACTGAGTGACAGCTCCAAACCAGCACATGCTCTAAGTTAACTCCCACGGCAGTACTGAGAATGCTACTATCACGCCCATGCTACAGGTGAAAAAACGAAGGCTCAGTGCAGCTGCTGCCTGTTTAGTTCATATTTCCAGTGAGACTAACAGCAGGACTTGAATGCACATCTGCGCTACACCTTATCCTTTCTAATGTGCCCCAAGTGCTTCTTCAGTAAGTCATTTCTCATTGTGCTCACAGCTCATTCCTTGTTTCCACTAACAGTTTCCATCCCTTAGACACCAGAAGGAAACAGGACCCTGTTATTGATCATTTGGTCTTTTCGTTTTAAGCTAAACACAGCTGGTATTTATTGCTGCCTCAGAATCAAGAAGCTAAAGTGCTGTCTTCAGTGAGTCCCAAATTTCTCATAGTAAGTCGAGCAGAACCCCTGCCCATCCCCACTGCCTAACCTCCTGCACAAGGCTGCCACGAGTGTGCCTGGTCATCTTGGCCCTGCTCCCTGGCCTCTTATGTGTCCTGACGCCACCCAGAGTACCCGAACCATTTTTGCCACTTTGGTTCACGTGGAGTCCCTTACAGTCAACATGATCATTGCAGACTCCACTGCTAAAAAATCAGGACCAAGGTTTGAAATTTGACTCTGCTGCACAACAAACACACACACACCCTTTTTGACAGGCAGAGTGGACAGTAAGAGAGAGAGAGACAGAGAGAAAGGTCTTCCTTTTCCGTTGGTTCATCCCCTGGTGGCTGCTGCGGCCGGCGCACTGCAGCCGGCGCACTGCGCTGATCCGAAGGCAGGAGCCAGGTACTTATCCTGGTCTCCCATGGGGTGCAGGGCCCAAGCACTTGGGCCATCCTCCACTGCCTTCCTGGGCCACAGCAGAGAGCTGGCCTGGAAGAGGAGCAACCGGGACAGAATCCAGCACCCCGACCAGGACTAGAACCCTGGGTGCCGGCGCTGCAGGCGGAGGATTAGCCTAGTGAGCCACGGCGCCAGCCCCTTTTCAGTTTTTAAAACCCTAGATACAGATGTGCTTTCATCCCTGCTCCCAGCTTGTAGAGTGGAATTGTGGAATCATCCACAAATCCACGTGTCTGTCTCCAGCACTGGGAGATCACAGTGCAGTGCCGAGCTCAGGGCAAGCCCACAGCAGGCATCTACTGAACACCCTGGACAGGACCCTCAGCAGGAGAAGCCCCTGTTGTCTGTGGGAGGTCAGAGGATGGACTCAGCCTCCACCAAAAAGACAGAGAGCAGCGGGTGTGTGGACTGCAACAGCCCCCCAGGCCAGGGGCAGAGCTGAGGCACACCCTCCCTGTCTCCCAGCAGCACAGTCCGCATTCCCCACGTTTTTATCGTCTAACATTTACTGAGTGCTCACCACAGACCAGACTGTACGCGAATGAGCTTTCCAAGCATCTCCTCTAAATTTTATGGCTGCCCAAACAGGATAATACTCTATTTTCTCCATTTTAGCAATGTTGAAACTGAGACTTGTAGTTCAGCAACCTGTACAAAATAACAAAACTAGTCTGTGGCAGAGCCAGCATTCAAAACTCAGCCACCTGTCTTCAACACTCTCTGTAGTTCCCTGCCCCACCAGAGTCCAAAATCCTGCCCTGCACAGATGTCTCGAGCATTTACAATGACACCAACGACTCACAGTGCTCCCAGCATGGACAAGCCTACTACGGTTCTCTCACTGACCTCGGCCTGGGGAGACCGCGGGGTCGCCGCAAGGGCGGGCGGCTTCTCTGAGCATCAGCGTGGGCAGCTGAGTGGATCTGCTGACCTTTGCAGTGCATCCCTGACGTCCACTCAGAACTAGACTGACCCACACTGTTCAATCCCTCTCTCGGCCATGACACTATCAAGCAGATGCCACCGTCAGCCTCCTGGAAGTCTTTGTCTGGAACTAAGGCTAAGACTGCAGAGGAGCAGAGGGAAATGGGAGGGATGGGGGACACTGCAGATGGGGGACACACTGCCCAGGACCACTGGAAGGACATACATTTGGTTCCATGAGGAGAACATGCAGGAGCCTGGGCCTGTGTGTGAGAGGTAAAGACAACGTGGGACCGGTTCCAGGCACATTCCACAGAAGTGTCGGTTCAGGGCCTCACTGAAGGCCTCGGAGCAGAGCAGCGACACATCCGTTCCTCCACTGGCTCGCTCAGCATTTGCTGAAGGCCCATTTGTGTCCGGCCTGGCCTTCGGGGGAGGGGTACTGACAGCCAGGCCCCAGTGCCATGCATCCGACAGTCTCCTGGGAGGAAATGGACAATGAACAGGTAAAGCTACATGCACAGTGCTTTAGAAAGTGGACAGAAGGCCGGCGCCGCGGCTCACTAGGCTAATCCTCCGCCTTGCGGCGCCGGCACACCGGGTTCTAGTCCCGGTCAGGGTGCCCCGGATTCTGTCCCCGTCGCCCCTCTTCCAGGCCAGCTCTCTGCTGTGGCCAGGGAGTGCAGTGGAGGATGGCCCAAGTGCTTGGGCCCTGCACCCCATGGGAGACCAGGATAAGCACCTGGCTCCCGCCATCAGATCAGCGCGCTGGCCGCAGCGGCCATTGGAGGGTGAACCAACCAACGGCAAAGGAAGACCTTTCTCTCTGTCTCTCTCTCTCACTGTCCACTCTGCCTGTCAAAAAAAAAAAAAAAAGAAAGTGGACAGAGACGAGTAAAGCAAGGCCAAGTTAACATGGACTCGCCAGGAGCGGGAGCAGCTGAAGAAGGAAGCCTCAGTGTAAGGCAACCTTGGAAGGCAGGTGTGGAAGAAAGGAGGGAGGCAGGCACATCGCAGGGCAAAGGGTGATCCAGGCGAGGGACGGAGGTTGCAAAGCTCCGTGCTGGGTGCCTGCTGCCTGCACTGAAAAAGCTGGAGGTGGCCAGAGTGACTGGTGGTCGTGAGTTCTGGGAACCAGTTCTGTCAGGAGCAGGCCCTTGGGCAGGCAGAGGGCAAGGCACGGAAGCAGCTCGGCCTCTGAACTTCCCAGAGGCAGAGCCGACAAGCCTTGCTGGCGGATCCCAGATGGAACTTGCTTCTTGAGACAGCTGATGTGTGTCCTGAGGTGAACAGGGCTGTGGCTGACAGACACAGCCCTCAAATAACCTACAGGCTGATGACTTTGTGAGCTCTGGGCTCTGGGAAAGCGCTTGTCAAGGATCCCCTCAGTGAGTCCCCGTACCAAGCCTCTGCACTGACCAGGGAAGCAGCAGAGACTCCGAGAGGTCACCGCCTACCCCAAGTCTACCACCACCCGGCGGCAACAGGCACAGTGACCTCTACAGAAACCCAGAGGTAGCAGTGCTCCCGACCCTGGGAAGGAGGAAGCTCCAGTTCCCAGGACAAGGAAGGAAGAGGCAGGACTAAGAGATGACACACAAGGACTATTTTCTGATGGATGGATAGAGACATGGGCACGTGAGGGACGGATGGACAACAGACCCACATAGGGTGAGAAAACACAACAGCACCAGGCTCCACTCCACAGAGTGCAGACTGGACAAGGGGACGCCCAAGTCTGTGAGAAGAGGAGAAGCCAAACGGAAGTCTGCCCGACAGGTCCTTGTCATCTGCAACCACCCGCAGCCAGATGGCCTGAGCAGAAGGCGCCAGCAAGGGCTCAGTACCTTCTAAAAACACCAACAGCAACAATGTCAGAAGTGAAGCCACAACGTCTTACCTCTGATCCGATACAAAGACCACACAGCCTTTTAAATAAAAAGCAACCTTTTAAGCCAATCAATGAAACCACTGTAGTGGCTCCCAGCTGCTGAGAGGGTCCCTCCACCTGCCAGTCACTTCCCGGGCATCCTTGTCTCCGGTTTCAACCTTTCAGTGTGGTTCTTCCCTGCTGTCCTTGGGACCACCAAGTGATGAACCCACCCACCCCGTTTTTAAAACAACATCCTCAAGCAACCTAGCTGGGGGTCCCTGAACACAGCCAACTTTCCAAGGAAGTGACAAAGCACTCCACATGTATAAAGTGAAAATACAAGCAGCCACGAAGTATCTTCAAAGTTTAGCCCACCTCTCCAGGTTCTGATGGAGAATGGGGTGCCAGGGTCAGGGTCTAAATGCAGGCTGAGCGAGCAGCATGGCAGGGGTTAAAGAAAAAGCATTCACCTCCGAAGTCTGGGTGAATGACTGGCAGCTTGCAGAAGCAGACTAAATAAGCCTGACCAGCCTCAGACGCAGGGTGGGGAAACCCCTCATCACCGCTGAGCGCCGAGGACTGGGGGAAAGAGAGAAGGCCTGTCCACGCTGCAAAGTCAGGGCTCCGCGGCACCGGCTCGACTACTTTTCAGGTGCAAGAAATTGGAAGGAGTCTAGAGGAACACAAACCGCCCCCCGCCCCGAGGCGCTTCCTAGAAGCCTGGCGTGGACTCGGGTAGCCTGGTCACCGGCCGCTCCAGGACGCTCGCACTTGGCCTTCCGCCGTGGGTCGCCGCGCCCCTACCCACAGACAGGCGCGCAGGCAGGCAGGGCAAGGTTTCCGCCCCGCAGGCGCACAGCTCCCGGCTCCGCAGAGCGTGGAACGCGAGCCCGCGGTGGCCGCACGTGTGGGCCCCGGGCACGGTCGGGGGAAGGGAGCAGACGGTCGCGTCCACTCGCCGCCAAGTTAGCCAGCACCCCGCGCCCACGTCGCCCTGCCTCTCTGTTTAAGCAGCATATCTGTGGGCGGCAACCTGTTAGTTCAATTAACCCAAGCTAAGGGCGCCGGGGCTCCGGCCCTGCCTCGCCCAGGCCAGGGAGCCCACAGTCCGCCCGCCGCCCCTTCCCCGGGAAGCGACCCTGCCCCGGCCGCGCCGCATCCCCGGGGAGCGCAAGAGGGCGCGGGGCTGCGGGGCCGCGCGCCGTACTCACCGAGGGCCGCGAGCGACGCGCGGGGGACCGGCCAGCTGGGCCTGGCGGCGGCCCTGCTGCCACCGCTATAAATACCGGGCCCGCCGCCTACGCCGCGCCCTCGGCGCCCGGCCCTGCGCGCCGGCTCCGCCGCAGGCCCGCGGCCCCGCCGGGGCAGCTTGCGCGCCTCCCGCCGCACCCGCGCCGACTCGGGCCGGGGCCGGGGCCTCCCTCCCCGCCGCGGCCGGGCCTCTGCGGAGCGGCCGCTGCGGGCCCGGAGCGCGGGCGCCCGCCTCAGCCCAGTGAGCCGGCTGCAGCCCCTCGGGTGGCCGGCGCGCCCCTCCCGCCACCAGCCATCCTGCAGCGCCCGCGACCCTGGCGGGGCTCCACGCTCCGCAAACTTTCAGGGGCGGCCTCGGCCCAGCATCGTCCTTGCCACTTTGGCATCAGAGGTGGGGGCGGGGCGGGGACACGGCCCAGCAGGACCGGGAGGTCCAGTGCATCCTCCCCAGCTGCACACCCATCCACACACGCCTGCCTATGCACGCGTGTCCACATGCACGTTACGTACATCACACATATATGTGCGCGAATGCCTTCACATACAACCACACACACATGCACACTCCTTAGGTACATAAATAGGTAGCCACACGTGCACGCAGTTTATATATACGTGTGCACAATGCACACATGCCTTTACACAGTATGTACACATACATCATATGTGCACACATACATCACATACAAGTGCAGACACGTGCACACTTTTAGCCTTTTTGCGGAGGGGAGGGGGTTGGTGGTTCTGCAGGGCTTCAGGATTCCTGGCTGTGACTGCATTTGGCAGCGTGCTGTCCCCCTGCAAGCTATGTGTGGCTATTTCCCTTCATATCTGAAATAAGATCGCCTCTGTCTACCTGCAGCTTATGGTGTACTAATTATGTACTTATTGTGCCACTGTGCAGCTGACACTGCAGGCTGACATTTCGTGTTGATGCAGGTGACCACTGTTTCGTACAAATGGGAAATGGGACCATGCATATGCCTGCTGGAGGCGGCTCTAGAAGGGAGACCCCAGGCCTCTCCTGGGCTAAGAGGGCAGAGATGTCGGCAGGTGTGCAGAGGGAATGAAGGAAGCCATTCCCAGCTCCTGCAGGGAGGCAACCTCCATGGCACAGCTAGAAGCTCTCAGTCACACCTCCCACTAGTCTGACACCTTTCTCAAGAGGACCACCTGCAGATGCACAAGATGCCGTCTGTACCTATCTTACAGAACCCTTGGTAAGACTGACGTGGCCATGTGCTGACAGGTTTCCCAGAAAGATTCCTTTCCTAGACTTGCTTGTTGCAACTTTTACCACTATACATTTCTGGTTTTTGTTTTTTGGTTTTGTTGCCACTTATTTTTCTCCCTCAAAGCTGTAAACTCTTTGAGGGCAGAGACTAAATCTCCCCCTGGCATGAGCAACACCTGATGTAGTAAAGGTACAGTCCTGGCTCAATAGACAGATCAACCTTCAGATTCTGCTAGACTTCCAAAAATCACAATCAAGACTGTTTTCCAAAGACTGTTAAACTGTGTAACTGTTTAACATGGTTCCGTGTCCCATGCATCCCTTGGATTTCTGTCTTAAAGCAAGAGTTCTTCAGTCTGTTGAGACTGGACACTATTAAAGCACAAATTATACAATAGAATACTAAAGTCTAGGGACCAGCATTGTGGCCTACTGGGTCAGGCAGCCACCTGTGATGCTCGCATCCTGTATGAACACCTGTTCAAGTCCCCACTGCTCCGCTTCCAATCCCGCTCCATGCTAATAGACCTGGGAAAGTGGCAGAAGATGGCCCAAATGCTTGGGTCCCTGCCCTCCACGTGGGAGTCCTGGATAGAGTCTGGCTTTAGCCTAGCCCAAGCCCCAGCCGTTGTGTCCATTTGAAGAGTGAACCAGCAAATGGAAGATCCCCCCCACCTTTCAAATAAGTTTTTTTCAAAAAAGAATACTAAAGTTTCTAGCTCATAGTCCCTCTTGCCCCAAAGCAAAACAAAGCATAAGGAGACAGAGACATCCCCATTTCACAGAGAAACATGGAAAATGCATTGTCCTGCAGCAAAGTCCTCTGTCTCCTTGAGAGACAGACCCCCCACTCCATGGTCAGTGGAAGCTCATGGGTACCTCCTAACGGGAACTTCAGTTCAGCAGGACTGAAAGGCCTGGCAGCCGTGACAGGGAGTGTGCTACCTGCCTTGCATCTCTGCATTTGCCCTCGGGAAGCCTCAGGGTCTGAGCAATTCAGGCATCCAGCACCACTGTAAGGCCCAAACATGGGCAAGGTTTGCGTCCAGTGCCACCGTCCCTTTCTGGCCACTGACTGAGGAGTTTGCGTCCTTCATTTTGTCAGCCACCCAGGGGCCCCAGCATAGCCGCATTTCAGCACGAAGCAGAGAAACGGTGTGGACGCTCAGGTGTTTGTCACAATAGCATTGAACGGTACAAGTTCAACTCACTGAAGCTCCGTGTGTGCAGCAGACCTGGAGGCTCACTGCTGCCCAGGCAATAGTCTCCCCTCCACCTGTAAGGAAGAGCTCATGAGACCAAGGAGTTCACTCAAACTCTTGCAAGAGGTAAAGGCAAGGCTGGGAGCCACACTCTGTGGCTATGGGAGGCCATATTCCAACCCTTCCATGTACCGGGACATGGATGGGGCTGTCATGGCTAGCAGACCCAGAATAAGGAATATTAGGAGGAATTCTGCTCCCACCACTTACCAGCTATCACCTTTGACAATGGCTCCTGTAAAACCACAAAACCACAATTGGAATTCTCAGATCCTGCTTTCTTCACCAAGGAGGTGGCAAGATCTCAAATCAGGATGTGGCTGTAGGGCCAAGGTACACAACTCGGCCATCCGTTCCATCCCAGTCACTACCACACATTAGTGTGTGAAAGGACCTGGCTGTACCAGACACATACCAGGTGGTTCACAAAGGCCATGCTTTGTTCTCATCAAACTTACTCACTAAGAAAATGCTCCTCAGAGTCAGAACCTGCTGGTGCAGGACACAGGAGGTGGCTTCTTTCCCACAGATTTGGACCATTTCTCTGGAGCTGGCCAGCAATGGCTCTCCAAGTGTGCAGAGGAGTTCCAGACAGGAGACAAGCGGTGGAGTTGTGGCACGTCCACTCCTCCTGCACCTGCACTAGAACCTGGGCAGCTGCATTTCTCTTGTCCTCGGGAGATCAGCAGACTGAGTGTCAGGGTGACGAGATGGGGACACTCTCAGAAGGATGCTATAAGTCACACCAGCCAGGCATCTTCCTGCTCCACATCCACGTGCAAAGTCAACCCTGGACCGGCGTACAGCCGTCTTGTTTATGTGGGGAGCAACTCGGACTAGACTAAGTTACTGGAATTAAGACTTATTCTATGCATCTGCTCTCCCACAATATGGCGCTGAGAAGGGAAACAGCTTCTACACAGCTGCCTCCAGTTCAACCAATAAACTGTGGGACCTGCTCCTGATTGGAGGAGAGCAGCGTACTCGGCGTGTGGGTAGCAGAGTTGGGATTGGTGAAAGAGGACTATAAAGGAGGAGAGAGACAACATGCACCAGGAACATCTAAAGGGAACATCTGAAGGAACACCTGTGCAGCCCCCGAGAGAGCCGGCCCGCGGTGTGCCGCTCCCCCGCGGAAGTGGGGAATGTGGCAGGGGGAACCTCCCTTCCACGGAGGTGGAGGGACGGTAGCCAACTCGGGAAGAACCAGCAGCAAACCCGGGGAGGGCCGAGCAGACGAAAGAACAGCGCAGGGTCCTGTGTCGTTCCTCCACGAAGAGGGGGAGCGACAGTTTACATGCAATTCCTTTGCAAAACCTGGCCCAAGAGTTCAAAGTCAGCAGGAGCCACATGAGACACAATGTTTTTCTGCTCACCTCACCAGTCCCTGGAGGTTAATAACACAGTTAACTCTCTGGTTTCGAAAAAGAAGAAAACAGGGTCATTATATATTTCCAAATAAATAAAAGGTGAAAACTCGATGACCAGATCACGTCCTGCTGAAGTGATCCTCGTAAAGCAAGAGGGAATCATAGCTGGAATCAGGAACCTCCTCCAGCACTTTTCTCAGGGATTTGACCAACTCTGAGCAAAACTATTCTTTACCCCTAGGTCAACAGGGACGATGCTGATGATATCTGAATATAAACAGCACGAGCTCCTCACTGCCAGGCGGGCAGGAACAGAAACCTGAGCAAGAACCTAATTTGCTTTTGGTATTTTAAGGGCAGTGACTCTACTGACAGGGTTTTCCTCCACAGTCCACATTTCCACCCTCCACTCCCATTGAACCCAATGTGCACTGACAGGGTTAAGGCCACTCGTCCTGAATTCTGCCTGGGAAGAGACAGCAGTCCCAGGTGTGCTGCCTGGAACTGAGCCTGTGCTCTGGGGTCCTGGATGAGCCCCATAGTGCCTCGTGTATCCCAGAGCCTGCTTGCCAGGCTGTTCCAGGGGTTAAGCAAAGCATGCTACGCTGTGAGCATGTGGCCCAGCACAGGTCATCTCTCCACGAGCGCTCTTTTCGTCATCACCCCTGCCCTGCTCAAGGCACTTCCCAGAGCCTCTCTAATGAAAGGACGGGTTCACTTTGCCCTCACACCATGCTACAAATGGCCATGAAAAGGTCCTTTTCTGAACAGATTTTACCTGTGTGCAGAGCGAAGAGCAGACATCTCGGCAGAGGTGGAGCTGGCCCCGCCCAGAGTCCCACTCCTGTGAGGATGAGGGAGGTCAACCGTGGCACTGCCCACTGCCTCTTCTTGCTCTCTCCTCTGCCCCATGCTCACCCCCCCCCCAGCATGAACCCAGGCAGTACCTGGTGGGGGTTAGTGCTGACCTCACCCACAGCCTTGTGGATGCTGAGTTTGTAAATGGCAAATTTGCCTACAGGCAGTTTTGGACCTGGTTTGGTTTCTCCTAAAACAAATGGCCTCTTTCTTTGATAAAACTGCTTCCAACAGGCCCTGCTCAGAGCTACATAGCGGGCAGGAGGCTTGATTTAGGGGAATACATATACCAGCTTCTGAGAGCTCTCAATGCCACGGGAGGCACCAGACATCCCAGCCAGTCAATAAAACCTCCGCAGCAGCCAGTCTGCCAAAGCAGGGCCAGGCGCAGAGCTGTCAGTGACAAAACAGCGCAGCGTCTGCCGTCCGGGGACCTCAGGACCTTGGCAAGCAGGGAGAGTCACGTGCATCTTACTGACCATACATGTTACGGAAACCCACCCCAAACAGAGATCCTCAGGAACTGCTGGAGGAGACCAGATGGGAGAAGATGGGATACTCATGGGAAAGACATGAAGGGAGGTGGGCATCTGGTGCAATGGCTAAGACATGGCTCGAGTCGCCCACACCCATGTCAGAGGGGCTGGCTTTGAGCTGTG